TGTATCCATATAAATGGCCCACCCTGTACATTGTTTGACATAGGCTTGTCAATATCAGTCACACTGTTATGATTTTTGCCTATGCTATCTGACATGTCCTGCCACACCATTAGCTGGTCAGGATTTTAGCTATAAATATCGATACCTTTAACAGCAATTCCCAACAAAGCAACAGCCAAAACTGCAATTTCCCTGAGAATATAATAATGACCCTATCTATAGCATAATCTCATTTAACCTCCTAGGACCTGGCGCCCACATATGTGGACATCACATTTTGGGATGTCTAGACCAAAATAATACATTTTGCTCTACAAGGGCCTGATATCCAGTTGCAAGGACATTATATTGATACTGTTCTATGGAAATTTAAAACGAATGTCCTCCTATGTGGATCTCATTTCTCTCAGAAACAAAAAATCAGGTAAAAAAACAAAAAAAACGTGCCCAAAAGAGAAATTAAAAATGCATGCCATTGAAGAGTACAGGTCTTAGGAAGTTAAAAAAAAAAAAGCATGCTTCATTCTCCTACTCACAGGGTGTGGAATTCCAGTGCACCTCTGGGTGTTCAGCACTTCTCCCATTTCCCTCCACAGCACCAGACAGGGAGAGTCACACTACATGGCTCAATTCCCACAAGCTCTCTGCCTTTCCAGTCTTTTTATCTCTCCCTCTGACTCTTCCTCTGTCTGTCAGCTGTGCAGGAGGAGGCTGGAGGTGATGGGTCCTCTCTTAGAGCGATAACAAATCCACTGTGCTTCTATTATTGATGAGAAGCCTTAGAGGTGTTTATCGCTCCGTCTTTACTTTACTGAAGAGATGAGCAAACTGATACTTTTACAGGTGGTGAGAGAGCCAGCAGAAGACCAAAACTCCCACAGCACATTTATCAACAAATAAAGCCTAGAAGAACTGAAACTGCCTCCTTGACTACAGCATCTACGGAACAGCAGATGTTTGCAAATAAAATGTATTAATGATGAGTTTTATAATATCCTGACAGAAGGCATCAAAAGATTTGAATCATAATTCTTCTGATTACTGCCTCGCAGATTAAAAACTAAATCATGTCCACAACGATTGTTTCCTGATGCATGAGTGATCGCAGTTGTGTTTGCTCACTCCTGCCTTTGTGAAAGATCTTCCCTCAGGCTAGGAGGGTAGGCTATTTATAGTAGGCTCATTGTTGTTGCTGTTATGGGACAGTGTGTCCTACTTACACTGGGAGCTGATATTACATTAAAGCAAGTGTTGATGTCACAGCTCGTATAAGGAATCATTCTCAAGAGACACGGGCCTGCCTTGCCACTCTTATGCATCTGGAGAGATACTTGTCTGACAGATGCTGCCGACAAGGCAACGATTCACATTAAGCCACCGCAGAAGAGAGGTTATGATTGGATCGGTCAGATCTGACACAGAGTGACCACCGTTGTATGACTGGATACGTTGAATCTAATACGGAAGCAATTTGAGAACACTTGAAGAAACCCCGGATCTAAATTTGAAGGGCAGGGAAAAGCAAACTTCTCTTGATTAATGAAAATGTTCAGCACTGTCACTAAAAATAATCCCCCGCATCAGAGGAAATGAAGACAGATCTGCAGTGAAGGTCAGAGTAAAACTCATAAGGCCTGCAATAATGAGGATCATTATGTAGAGGGCAGAAGCCTTTATACACAAATATCTCAGCGAAGAACAGAAGGCTAAGATGTGCTCAGGATTAATGGTTTAAATGCACACAGCACGCACACGCACGCACACGCAGACTACACTTGTGGGCTTAATGGCTTTTGTAACTCTGCTGTGCAGCTGTGTGCAGCGTCTGGAAAAAAACAAAACAACTTTCTGCTGTCAAATTGGTCACTGTTAATCCTTGTGTCTAAAACAGCAGCGTTTGCCAGTAAACACAAAATTGAGCCAGGTGACGGTTCAAAAACAGACTCACATGATCAGATTCTTAGATTTAGTAAGAATTTAAGTTTAGACAATCAAAACTACTCGATGACTGCATGATTAGCAAAAAAATCTGCTTCATGGTTAAAGAAACTGTATGCAGGTAAATGATGGGACATGAACACATGTGCTCCGTATGCCTGAATCTTTCCAAGCCTGTTTTCCTGCAGTGAACAGCTCCATCTGGAGATCTGGAGTGAGGAGCCCGTTTGAATACGGTGGACTCTTCAAGTTCAAGTCATAAAAGGATGGACATTATTATGGTCAGCTATGATAGAGGCCAAAAGGATGATCAGTTGAACAAAGTGTGTTAAGAAATTATCTGCATTTACACCACACAAGGCAGGATGCATCCATTTTTTCAATACATTTACACTTTTCCAATCTTCTGTTTTCCAAATCCATTTTCATCCGGTAAATCAACAGTTTCTGAAAGCCTGTTTTGTCCCAATAATCAAGCCGCATTCAGAGTCTCTTTAAACCACCTTTCTTCACCATTCCAATGCCAGGTTTGAACTACAACGGGTCATCTTAAACATGTTTACATGCCTAAATAAGTTACTGCCATATGATTGGCTGATTCTCTCCCAGCTATCATAGGGCGAGCGGTAGGATGTACCCTGGAAGGTCGCCAGTTTGTCGCAGGGCTAACACAGAGGGACAGGCAGTTTTGTTTATATAACTCCAAATTACAACAGCAGTCACCTCAAAGCACTTTATAGTGTAAAGTAAAGACCCTACAATAATACAGCGAAAACCCTAACAACGAGACAACTCGCTATGACCAAGCACTTGGTGAGGAAAGAAAATCTTCAAAACAATAGTGCAAATTAATGCCAAACACTGCTGTAGCTACATCTTCCTTTTGAATACAGTCTATGGGGCAAACTCATCTAATTTTGGCACACCTCATAAACAGACTACAGCGTCTCACTTGAAAGGAAAAAGCTTTAAAAGTAATAAGTGTGCAGTGCAGTCGACAGCTACTCAGTGTTAGCATTACCTTCAGTCTGAGCCTGTGGGGATAACATCAGCAATACTCTACTATTTAGCTTCACGTACCTCAAGAAGGCGTACGCTTAAAAAATCATTTGCAAAATCTAATGTACTCACATGTGCACCAAACTAATCCCCCGAATGAACACTAATGATCTTCTGAGTAGATAGGAAAATTCTCAGTTAACACTCATTTAATACGTTTCTGACAATGAAATATTCTCTATGGTGCAGTCACAGAGAGCAGCACACATTAGCAAACACTGAACCTGAATCAAGATTCGTGTGGGAAAACTGTAGCCGATGATCACCTAGGAAACAAGGATGAGAGAACTGTTTAATTCCTTCACGTGAATTAAGCCCAAGTGACCTCAAACAACGTGCATACACACACACACACGTGCGTGCACAGACACACACACATAACAACAAATAACAAGCCTTAATTTAATGTACCGCCTTGCCTGTTTTAAAATCAGTTCTAAATGAGAGTGTCAAGATCTGAGGCAATCTTCACACGTGCCAAGTGTTTAGGGTAATAATGAAAAAGGAATGAAAAGTGGGGAGCGGACCAAGCTAGGAGAAATGGCATATTTTACTGGCAGTGTAGCATGAAGTGGCGCTTGCAGCAAAAAGTGGGAAATAGCATGTTTCCTCTTTTAGAAACAATGGAACAAGCCGAATCATGAGGCTGGGGGAAGAGTATATTTCTGAGGCAATCTTAGATTTACTTCCTGATATTCGAGGAAAATAGATTTGTTTATTTTTTTTTTAAGCAAGGCTGAATTAGCACTTTGCAAACTGAATACCTGCTCCAGTATCAAGTTGATCCTGTCCACCTCACAGTCGATGAGGAAGCGTTTCTCCTGCCGGCGGTCCATCTCCTCGATGATGCGCCTGTACTCTGTGGGGTCCACAATGTTCCCCACCGAGCGAGCTGTCACCTGCCAGTTATTGGCTACAGCAGACTCCATGATGGCTTGGAGGATTGCAAACCCTGGGGGAACAGAGGGGAGAGAGCTCCATCACACAACTATCTTTTTGAATTTCAGAGCACACAAGAAGGAAAACGTGCTCAGAATCCCAAATTCCCTGTGCGCTGAAAAAAAAACAAAAACAAGGATAATGTGGCTTCCAGCAATGGTTTGTAACCATTTATTGTCATAAAGAATGTAAACTATTAACTGATAATGCATTGTTAACATGTTTAAACAGTACCAATCATCTTGCAGGCACCGCTTGCAGGGAGGAAAATAAACGTGAGAGAAAAAAGCTGAAGTAAGTAAACAAAGAGGCGCGCTTCAGAGTAAAAACTGAGCTGTACTGGGGCGGCAGTCAAACAGTCTCCTGATACTGAAATATGAACAGCTGCTCGAGTGGATGGCTAGAAGAAGATCTGTTGGGGGGGGGTGTTTGATTTGCCTTTTTTTGCCAGTCTAAATTCTGACAAACGCTCAACACATTTCGCGTAAAGGTAGTAAGAAAAGCTAAAATTTGAGCCAAAATTAGAGATGCTTGAGAGCTCTTTCTTTACACTGCATATGAATTAAACAGACATGCTCTTGTAATTAGGCCTTTCCGGAACGTGCAGGTACAAGATTAATGAGTCTCTTTAGAATTAATATCAGGAACGGCTGCCAAATGTTTAAAAGGATCGTAAAAAGAAATATTTGACAGACAAAGCAGATTCAAGAGGCTCCACAGAGAATCCCCACAACCGATTAGCTTAAAGCTGCAGCTCTTATAACAAAGATAGATGCATTATAGAGCATAATTAACCATTAACTGGGAAATGACTGAGCTGTCCCACGCTGCCTTAGCAGTTTGTCATGGGAGGTCATCATTGCTATCTCTTCCCTGGTAGACTGAGGAATTTAAAGTTGCAGAAAGGACAAACGATATGGAAGAGAAATGTCTGTGTTTCTGCGTATTATAATTCACCCGTGAAAGTTGCAATGCTAAAGTTTTATATTTTATATTTCTTTTAAAAAAAAAAATCAGGGGTCGCAACAATAAGATATGAAACATGTACCTTAGCAGATGCAGTGAAATAGACTTCCCAAAGGATCCAGAAAGCACAATTGGCAGAGCTTACTGCACACCGGGATGAATCAGTAGCTGAGGCACATGAAAGAAAGACGCTGAGCTAAGAGTAAGTTGGCTGAGCGGTGACACATTAAAAGCATAGACTGTATATAAAAGAAAGCCACATTGTTATAATGGAGTGTGGTGGTTTACTAAGGAGATTAAGGACTGGTGGTCAGCAGTCATGACAGGGTGCAAAGGGAGTTTCTAAATCAGCTGAAAAAAACATCAGTGAGTGAGTGACATAGAAATAGAGCATACAGCTGTGTGTTAGCTTCAGAAACACCATGTTTTAGCCAGTTTTTGTGAGCAGAGGGTACAAATCTTAAACCTGAAATACTGTAGTGAAACAGTACACCTTGTTTATAAGATTCCTACTACTAAGCTATGGTGTGGCATTAGTAAATCTGGATTAATAATTGAGGAGACTGAAAGAAAGTGTAGGTAATACAAGCTTATTTTGGTTACAGTGGTGCAAGATCTTTTTAAACAGGCTTGTTTGGATGATTGAGGCAAGGCTAAATAAAGTGAGTCATTGCTGCATGCTGCCTTTTTGAACTGATCAATTTGTTGCCAAGCAATCTGAGAGCCCATCAACACATTTGCAGGACGGTTGCAGCAGCTGATTTTTCAGAGCTTCCAGTGCAGCCGAGTCCAGGCCAAGACTTCCTGTTTCATCTGCCATTCATCAGTCACTGTTTACAAAATACAGATACATATTTAAACGAGAGAAACTCCAACAGCGCAAACCTCCGCCAGGGCCGCTCACTCTTTGGGCAGTATTTACTTTTAAGATAATACTACTGGATCTATTCATTTTGTTTTTCTTTGTTCTTTTAAGTGTACTTTAGTTTGTAGTGCAGTAAAAAGGACACATTTTGGAGTCCACTTAAAAGAAAGGAAGGTGTGGGATCAAATGACACATGGCATTTGGAATCCCCGTATACATGATTCATTTCCTGAATGTTGGCAATGCAAACAAAGGTAGCTGAGTTACAAGCACAGTTTTAAAGATAAAATATATTTTAGGAAGGTTTGACCTTATTTAACTTTGATGAAGAGGTCACAAATCCAAAGTAACATGATATATAGAATCCCTATATATCATTCCCTATATGTTGTCAGTACAAACAACAGCAGTAAAAAACTGTATAATAAGTATAATCACATTATTATCACTTTAACCTTCAGATCAATCTATTAACCTTAAAAGAAAGATCAGAAGACAAATTTTAAATAATATTTTAAATCTTTATAGTGTACTTTCTATATGTTGACACGTTTTTTTTCCCTCAATTTTTGACCATTAAAGTTTATCTTGAAGACCTTATGGGTGGATGTAAGCATATTTTAGCTGTTAACGTGACCTGTGATCTACACTCTAATAATGCAATTATTCAAAAATGATCAGGTGATGGTTTTAAAGCTGCATTTCCACAAATAATGCTCCTGTTTTGCTCTTCACATGAGCAGTTTCCCCGCATGTAACCTAAGCCTGCTCAAGCATGACTTGTCAACACATGAACTCCAAACGCAAACCAAGAAAGCTTCCTGTAACAAAACCTTGGCCCTTGCCTACACACTAGCTATCCAGCGACGGTTCATCTCTGTAACAGCAGAACACATAGTGGCTTTGTTTAGAAATTTATATAATTCAAAGTTGAAATATTCTTTCTAAATCACTCAAATATTTTATACATCTTTTGCTGTAGGTAGGAAGACAGGTGACCTTTGAAAAGCCCAAGGTGAAAGATTATGAATAAAGTAAAGATTTGCATCTCTTCATTCTTTAAAGAACAGGACACAGGACACATCAAAAATGCATTATGGCAGAAGCTATTACATGCTGTACTGAGTCACAACTAATGGGCAGGGGGAAAAGTGCTGCTTAAGTCAGAGCAGGAACACTTTAGCTGACTGGACTAAATGCATCACATGCTGTTGCCCTTTTCTTTCACAGAAGGGATGAAACTGTTGATTCTAGGAAATGATAGATATTATTACGGGTGCTGAATAAGCTGGTGTGAAATGTGTTTATGTAAATACAAGTGAGCTTCACAGCTTCTCTGCAGGAAGCAGGAATTACAAAAGCTAAATGAAAACCTTATCCACATCAAGGGACACGCAGCCTCCCTGCAGCACAAACCACAGTTCAACATCAGGGATACTCGAACTGCTATATCACCTGTGTGTATGTTTAAACATGTCAGCGCTCTCTAACACTTTAGGTAATTTTTGGTTGGGCTACATGTTCATTTGTAGAGCTACAGGGATCGTAAGATAGTTTACCAGGGAGGTTCTTTGAATATTAAACATGGACTTTTAATATTAAAGATTCCTGAATAATTCACTTGTTTTTGCCATTACACCTGAATTTTTAAAGCCAGCACCATGGAGAAATATCATTTGCTTGAAGCTACTTAAATTTGACCTTCACAGCCCAGAAAGATGAATGTGTGACGTTGGTACTAGAAGTCTGTTTTCACATTTATTGTTTATCCAGTGAAGCAAAGTTTCTCAGTCCACCCTCTAATCTGAGTTTAAAAGATTAAGATGCAAATATGACTTTTTAAAGTCAAACTATAGTTTCCAAATTAGTCTGTGAGGTGATTATGATCCAAGAAGAAAAAAAAAACGTTTTTCTGCACACTGCAATCTCAACAGGATGTCTCTTTGAAAACTGCAAAAACTCCAGATGCAGACAAATCCCAGCTACTCTATGCAGACACTCTAGGGGTTGCAAAAAACTTGTTTTCTTGTACAGCAGCTCAAATTAACAAATGACAGGGAGTCCCACCATAGTTCTTCTTTTCAGGAGTAACAGCTGAGCCGTTCTCACTGCTAAAATGCTTTTGAGTTTCACTGAAATGTACAAGCTTTTCAAATACCTTCCTCTGTGATAATAATGACCGTTTATCAAGAGTGATTTCAAATATACAGTATATTATATTTTCATAGCTGAAGAAATATACCAGTGTATTGTTTTTTAAGCACTAAAACGCATCAAAGTTAGTTTACTTAGCGTCTGAGACAATAGGCAATATTCTGGGGCTTACTGTGGAACCAGGTGCTGTGCTGGTCACTGTTTATGATTGACATTGTTTGATGATGACAGTGATGTTCTCCATGTGGGCCGTTTGTCAATCAGAACTGCTCAAACACAACATGTCAGTAGTAAGGAGACCACGAGTGGCAATCATTTGCATTTGCATATAGATTTTATATTTCCATGCAGCGATCTGTCTACAGAGATTCATGCCTGTGTACAAAGTACAAAGGAAATGTGAGCGATGAATGAAGAGTAACTGTAAATAAATAATGACATATTGCAGCAATTAACATGCCATTAAATCTCCAAACTCATAAAGGTACAAGAATATTTTCTTACTAAAGAGAGGTAGAGAGGTTTCAAAAGGTTTGTAAAGTGGAGAACTGAATTTTTGGGTCCACTAACACCATTTATAGATTTATCTTTAGCAAATAATCCAGATAACAGATTTGACACCGCCTTTCTAAGGCAGCACTCACTTGTAATGTATAATTTAATCAGAAGTATTGTTGCTTGCATTTCCAACAACAATAACTAGTGGTCCTTATCTGGATCTACCACAGGTTCTTCAACTTTCTGTTGGGAACATGTAAACTCATGTTCCCAACAGGCCTCCGAAATATTCAGAGCACAGCAACTGGGCTGACACGTTCGCCCTCGCCCTCCATTCCCCTGCTGGTGACCTTCACAGTGAAGTGCACAGCAGACAGCACTCAGACCAGGTATGGCCTTTAAAGACAAGTGGCTCTCGCTGGGTGCCATCACGTTAGCCACTCTGGCTTCTAAAGAGGCCACCGCGACGTGTGCTCACATGCCTGACACCGGGCGAGGTTAAGGAATTCAAAAGAGGCATCGTGTCTCGA